CATAGTTATTTGGGTATTTAAAATGAGACCTCACTGTTAGCCATTAAAAAAACCTAGGAAATTTGTTTATGAAAGATAAGGAGGTCATCATCTTTAAGAAATTCATACATTGACCAGTAATGGGGGGGGGGGGGTAATCCCTTAAATCAAAGACCAGAGAATAACACACAGAAGAACATTTCAGCCTTAGAATAATCTTCTTAAGGATGCTATTCACAAATATATAATCCTTCTTATAAGTTCATCACAAGGAATAACAATTTGACAAAATATGGCCTTCCATTACACGTCTCCCATTTCTTCTTGTAAAATGTCCTGGCAAAAATCAAAACACCCACACTGCTACAATGAAACCCATCCCCACATTCCATGGCTGCGGAACAATTCCATAAATACAGGGTCATAAAAAGAGCTTGCAAAACTCCTGTAGCCACCAACTACATTTCAAGGATAGGAAATTAAAGACAATAACATGTGACCGTGCAGTTAGAGCAGTCTGAAGATCTTCTAAAGTCTGTAAAAATTGCCCAATGTTATGCAAGTCATACAGTATAGATAATACTGAGATTTGGGTGAGATGTTGACATTTTATAGTTTTGAGGCTTTAAGATACAAGTCATATTCAGCATATCTTACGTTGGTACAACAGAAATCTAAAGAAAACACAATTTTGAAGTGCTAGCTAATTGGCTTATTTATTTCTACACACATGATACCTGAGAGCTCTTAGCAGAGTGCTAATATAAATGAATATAAACAGCTCGCTGGAGCTCAGCATAATATTACCTGACACCACAGGGGGCGGAAAAAAGGTTACACTTTTTTTAGAACTCCAAATATTAAGATACAAGTCCTTGGCAATGAAAAAATTTCTTGTTTAATTTCAAGAGATTTTAAGTTAAAATATATAACTACAATGCTCTTTTACAACTCTGGAGTATTTCATGCTTTAGGCCTCTAAAAAAATTTTCTTATTGATTGTGTAATAGTATTATTGTTAAAGTTAACACTTGAAGGCCTACTTGTGCCAATTTTGCTAACTGCTTCGTACGCAAACCAAAAACAAAACTCCCAATGTCTAGTCGATTCCGAATTCTATCACGGTCCCACAGGGCTTCCAAGGCTGTGAATCTTTATGGAAACAAACTTTTCTTCATGTTTGGTAAACCAAACAGCCATACCTTTCTCCCACCAAGTGGCTGGTTGATTTGATCCACCAAGCTTTCAGTTAGCAACAGAGTGTTTAAGAACTGTGCTACCAGGATCATTAAATCCTTCCTAGGCATTATTAGATTAAGAGGCTTATTAAAGTACATGTACTAAGCCATGCTTCCAGGCTTTAATTGCTTCTTGATACTACTAGTTGGAAAATCATGATGCCCACTGAAAACTCACAATAATTCTAAATAATTACACCAACGTAAGTAGAACCAGAACACTAAGATGAGAGTGAGTTAAAAACACATATAATATTAATCACTGGCACTACAACAATATAAATTAGTTATTAGGCACAAACCTTTATTAGGTAACGTTACCAGGCATGTTTAAACTGAGCCACAGAAGGGGTTAAAAATAACTACAATGAAAGGCCAACAGCCTAGCAGCACAGTTGAGCCAACATTCCCTTCTCTCCTCCCCCTCCCCTTCCCATCCTCTCCAGTCCAGTATGAACTGCATGCCCCACTGCACAAGGCCCAAAAAGGTCACCGTAGATGGTTGAGACTTTTGTAAGAGAACAGAAATAACTTGGCAGCTTTGTTACCGTAGTCTCTTTTAATCAGTATGTTCAAAATCCTTTAATTAGCACTCTGTCTACACAAGGAAAGCATTTTTTCTGTGCCAGGGGAGGGCATGTATGTACGTACACAGTGTTCTGTTGTA